TATAAGCACAGTGACTGTAGACAACTTTCAACTATTTATAATAATTTTAATTTGGAATTTTGATGAAAGAAAATAACCAGATTGAATAAATTATTATCTATTAGCACTGCAAGCAAGGAAAGGATTTTATCAAGTTTATCATAAGCAAACCTAAGTTTCATTAATGTGACCGATCTCACTGTGTTAGTGCTGTGGGCTGTAGAGCAGGGCTTCCAAACTTTTTCATGTTAAACCCCAAAAATTATCTTTTGGCCAAGAACCTCCTTTAAAAACCACTAACCATAAACAATGTTAAAAATTATGTAAAGAAACACTAAAGTCACTTAGAGGGATTGTTTCAGGTGAGAGGCAGTCCTGCGCATCGATAACTTGCGTTAAAACTGCCTCTATTTATTTAGTTCTCTTTATTTACAGGAGAAACTGCATAGTTTTAAAAATRCCCAGTGCTGAATGGCTTTGCTACGAACTAAAATAAAACAAACACTGGCTGAAAGTTTTAATAGGTTTGATGGAAGTATAGCAAGAAGAAAAACTACAAGTGAAACACAAGCCTATAGCTTAAAGTTAACAACACTAAAAGTAAATAAAACTAGACATGGGTTTTTACGATGTAAAAACAAGTGTGCATTGCCATGTAGCATGGCTTTGCCTGCAGCATTGCACTTGTAGAATGAACTGTGACCAAGTTCAAATGTGTTTTTATGCCAGCTTGTGCCTGTCAAGTCAGCAGGTGTTTGTAATTATGGTAATTGTGTAACAAAATGAAGTTTGTAGWGATTTTTTGTTAAAGTTGCTGTAGCTGGGTTTTGAACCCTGATCTCCCACATGAAAGTCCATAGAGTTAATTATGAGACCATTGGAGCTGTGGCAGATGGTACTGCCAAGGGTTGGTTTGTATGTGTGCAGAAAGAGGCCACATTGCCAATGCAGTTGTTGACACAGAACTGCATAATAACATAATAACATAATAACAATAGAGTAATGTTAGGACAAGATTTTAGTAAAACATCAAAATACAATATATTATTATTGTAATCACTGAACTACTGAGTTTAAATATTATTAAGCTATGGTTCAGTACTGAGTATATACAGCAAGGGGCAGTGTTGGACCAATACAAGGCTCCATTGACTGGCATTGTATGATTTTAAACATTAATATTTCAAAAACTATAAGCTGTACAGGCACCAAAAGGCATAGCCATCATTTGGCACAGGAGCTTTACATATATAAATTACAATGGCAGCTCTAGGACAAAGTATGCATAATCTCCAAAGTGGAGATGACTTGGATGGGAAACGAATCACAACAATGCACACTGATAAAAGTTACATAGCAAAAAATTAACTAAAAKCTAAAAGTRGCTATCAGAGAACAACAGATACAAAATGTCCTGACGTGTAATCCAGGTAGAAAAATCCAAAAGAAAAAAAAAACAAGTATATCCTTTAATGAACATCTTCAGTCCGATGGTCCTCTTTTGCATGTGACTAACCTGTTTGTCCAGGTGGAGGCGGAGCTTATAAGGCTGAGTTCACCTGAAACTCATCAGACTGAAGAAGTCTCTCAGAGGAGAGACGGAACGTTTCACTAAAGAAGAACCCGTCCAGAGGACCTACTGATTTTTTTTAGCAATAGAAACAGTTTATGGAGTTTAATTCAAAAGAGAACAAATTTATTTTATAAATGTGAGCCATCACATCAAAACGAGGATTAAATCTAAAAGTTGTATATGGAGAAAAAGGCAAATACAGTGTTTTGACAAAAATGTTAACAAAAATTGCATTTTGGCTAAATATAATAAATAAAAGCCTTATTAATGCAT